GCGAGAAGACCAAGACCGATTTTGCATTTCCCAACTCCCATTGATAGTGGAAATAATCGATTTTTCATGCTTCTACGGCAGTTTTCATGTAGTTTGCGGCCACTTTGTACTGGCCAGAGTGAGAGGCAATAGCTGGCTGGCAAGAATAGGCAGAAAGATTCTTTTGACCAGCGTGAGAGCCATCAACTGACTGACACGAATGTTAACTAGCATGCTAGCATGCAAAAAAAAACGATAGCTGCATTCGTCACAAGTGGAAAAAAATTAAATCTGCATGTCACTTTACTCCAATTGGCTCATTTCCTTGCTTAAACTCAGCAATAATTCTGATTCCGCAGAACTGGGTTAGGTGTGAAAAAGTATTTGTTGTTAACATTCTTTTTTCTTCCGTTTTTTCCAGTTACAAGTCCCTTTTTAAAGCTGATCGTTTTGTGTTCATTTTGTTTAGTTCTTTTTCCGTAACAGATTTAATGTTTAGTATAGAGCTTAGAAAAAATTTGCAGTGTGACATAGGCAAGAAGTAAGGCATGTAGCAACATCAGCACGGCAAAGGGCACTCCTTTAAAGGCAAGGAAGGGCAAAAATATTTTAAGTCAAGTGATAGCGATTGCTGTATGAGTCGTACGATTTTTGAATCAAGCACAGGTAACGCCAGGCCATGCTATATAATATATATATATATATATATATATATATATATATATATATATATATATATATATATAATGAAATGGACAAAGTCCGACAATTATTTTAAGACATTTTTATGTTTGTACATTCATTGATACAAATATTTAAGTAAATGCTCTGTTTATAATAATGAGTATTAATAACATTTACCGGCCTGAATGTCCGAGAAATTTTCATAGAAATTATTCGTTCTACGACAGGAATCAAATCTGTATCCTATACACAACCGTCATATAGCCTGACGTGCCTTTAACCGGTTTGGCCACAGAGGAGCGTTCGGTTAGCAAGGTTGATTTTACTGTCTTTAAACTACAATCTTCCATGAATCTCTCGCGTACATTCATATCTCCTCAAAGCGTATCCAAATGTAAACATTTACCGGCCTGAATGTCAGAAATTTTCATAGAAAATATTCGTCCTCTGATAGAAATCAAACCTGTATCTTATACTGAACTGTCATATAGCCTGACGAATATTTTCTATCTTTATTATTATTAATATTAGTGTTATTATTAGACTATTATTATTATTATTATTATAAATGTTTCATTATTGGACTATTATTATTATTATTATTATTAGTGTTATCATTATTGGAATGTTATTATTATTATCATTATTAATATTATTAGTGTTATTATTAGACTATTATTTTTTATTTTCATTATTATTAGTGTTATCATTATTAGTCTATTATTATTATCACAATTATTATTATTTTATCATTCTTAAACTATTATTATTATTATCATTATTATTATTATTAGTGTTATCATTATTAGACTATTATTATCATCATTATCATTATTATTTGTGTTATTATTAGACTATTATTATCATTATTATTATCAGTGTTAACATTATTAGACTATTATTATTATCATTATTATTAGTAGTTTATTATTAGTAGTGTTATTATTATTAAACTGTTATTATTATCATTATCATTATTATCATTACTGGTGTTATCATTATTGGAATATTATTATTATTATCATGATTATTATATTTAGTGTTATCAGTATTACATTATTATTATTATTATCATTATTATTATCATTAGTGTTATCATATTAGACTATTATTATTATTATCATTATTATTATTAGTGCTATCGTTATTAGACTATTATTATTATTTTCATTATTATTAGTGTAAACATTATTAGATTATTATTATTACCTTTATTATTATTATTATCAATATTGACTATTGTTATTATCATTATTATTATTAGTGTTATCATTATTAGACTATTATTATTATAATTATCATCATTATTATTTTCAGTGTTATCATTATTAGACAAATTTTTATTATTATCATTATTATTCTTATTACTGTTATCATTATTAAACTATTATTATTGTCATTATTATTATTATTTATGTTATCGTTATTAGACTATTATTATTATTATTATCATTATTATTATTATTATTATTATTATTACCGTTATTATTATACTATTATTATTATTATCATTATTTTTATTAGTGTTATCATTATTAGACTAACTTGAAATTGTGATTATTGTTGCCTAAAACAACAAGCTCTATCGGACAATTATAAATATATATATATATGTATATGTATATAAATAAAAAGAAAGAACAGCAAGATATATAATCCGGTGTTCTTATAGATATTTTTATTTTTACAAAATAGTGCTCAATGTAAATTTACAGAGCATTAATATTATAAATTAATTGATTTAAAATATGTTTTTTTTCGCTACACAGTTCTAACCATGTTTCAAAAATGAAAGCTAAAAGCCCCGAATTTAATTTTGTGATTAAATTAAAGACATTAGTTCCATTTCATCCTCAAGACTATATATATATATATATATATATATATATATATATATATGTGTGTGTGTGTGTGTGTGTGTGTGTGTGTGTGTTAAACCGATTCATCACCAAACATCTGGTTTAGTCAGATTTATAGAAGCGTGTCAGGCTGAGAACTTTTCTGTAAATCATATTGGTATATGCTACGTTCACTCGTACGGAAGCAAGCAAATTAATAATATATTCCTCTCTCGCTCTCTCTCTCTCTCTCTCTCACACACACACACACACATAAACACACACACATCTAGATATATATTTATAGATACACCTCTCTCT